CTTAAATGGAGAAAACTTCTCCACTCAAGCATGTCAAAGGTCATGCCAAAGGACAGAATCCATTTCAATCTAAATGTATCACAACGTGCGGTCGCTCGTAAACGAAGTTTATTGTCGTCTCTTTCTTGAAATAGATCGTCTGAGTTGAGCAAATAAATTTGCTTGCAGCAATGATGGTTGCCTGTTATCATTCAGGCTGCCGATAAGTTGATGATATTTGGTGATAAGAGTAGTGAATGGTACAATGTTAACGGCCGTGCAGTTTTATCTTCTCATCTACAATGCTTTACAGTGTTGTGGGTAAGTTTTATTATAAAAGATTGTTCATTTGTTAATCTGAAAAAAAATCAAATATCACAACTATGCGGTTATATTTGTAGGAAAAAATTAGCATTTTGATAAGGAAATTTTAGATTTGATGGCTTATAATAGCTTTTTTTCTTTCATTTTAGGTGTAAATAACATGCTTTTAGAATGGGAGTAAGGAATAATAGAAATGGAAAATTCAGATTAGTGATTAATGATTAGAGAAATGCTTTAATTTGTTGTCATAAAGGAAGATGAATAAAATTGACAAGAAATAAGAATAAGAGAAAATACTATTATTGAGAAGATTGTATTAGAAATCGATAAGATACGATAGGCTAAAGTTACGTTTTATAGTGTTACACTATATGAGAATTCAAAAAATTTAGATAATTTTTAATTTAGATAAATTTAGGATAAAAAATTTAGATAAATATAAATAAGTTTAGATAAAAATTTAGATGTTCAGTGTTTACTTTTCATATCCACTAACTCTGCACAATTTTCGAGAATTAATATAATTTGGATCAGTGTAAGAGAAGGAGAAAAGATTGGTTTTAGTTTGATCATTAAAGGGAACTGTTTGTAGATGGAGCCGAATTTTCACTCATCTCATTTTTCTAAAAATTTTAATTTTATAAATTTTCTAACTTCTATTTTTTTAGATGGAGTATAATTTTATGGAATACTTTTCGTGGTTTATTATTGAATGAAAGCTATCAACAGCTATATCAGTCGTGTGAATTAGAACTACAGATTTTCCAAACAGCTGCAATACTTGAGGTTTGTTTATGATAAATTGACCGTCAATGTTAAACTTCCAATCTTAATTACGAATAACTGTGAAATGAAAAGGTTGTTGTATATGTGCATTAAGAATATTTCGATTTTGAAACTTATGCAGAAGCAATAATGGTCACATTTTAAAAATTTGTCGAGCCTTTAACTGGTAACTCGAATCTATGATGTCATATCCCCTAGTTTTCAATCCAAGTTTATCTTCAAAGTCTGTGACAATGCTCTTCAAAAAATAGCTTACTTTCAACTGACTGAAACAAAAAAAAAAAGTTGTTTCACAAACAAGTTTTTGTGCGGTAAGAAGGTATGTTATTTTAGAAATTACGCTGTAAAATTTTTTCGCTTGTAACTTTTGATTTTCTAATATATTCATGCGATAAATGAAAGAAAGTTAACTTGTTGATAGAAAGTTGATGAGCAAATTAACTTTATTCAGATTGTTCATGCTGCTGCATGTCTTGTTCGATCACCCGTTGGAACGACAGCAATGCAAGTATTCTCACGTGTTTCGCTTGTCTGGCTTATCTTATACAGGGTCGTAACGGTAAGATTCTAAATTTTTAATTTTCCAAAAATTAAAAAAATCAGCTATTGTTTGTACTTTGTATTACTTTATATCATGTTTTTGTGCTGTAGTGATTTCATAAAATTTAATGAAATTTATACATGCTTAAATTTGTTTCCACTTAGTTTCTATACTTTAACGAATTAACCAAAAGATATTAGTAGATGAAACAAAAAAATTTAAGAATTTGAAATTAAATGTAGACTTTTATCGAGCTTCTCAACTTTTTCAGTTGTTTCTTTTATTGAATGACGTTTCAGAGTTTCATGTATTTTTGCGCATTTCATTTAGTGAGTTAAGTGTGGTTTTAAGTTTTCACTCACTTTTAGGCAAAAACAAGTATTGGTGTGTTGTTTTTATTGATAGCATGGTCGGTAACCGAAGTAGTACGATATAGCTATTATGGTCTGGCTTTGATTAATTCTGTATCAGATCTTCATACATGGCTAAGGTGAGTCTTGTCATGCATATCATTAGATTCAAGTTGCAATTTGAAAGTTTTATTGTGAATTTTAGTTAACCAATTTTTACCTTTTCATTTCCTTTCTCTATACCTTCGAAAAATCTACTATGATACAAAAAAAATTTGACAGAGTTCAGACATGTCTGGAAAAAGCTTGTAATCCTATTTGATGTTTATGTTTACAGGTACTCTCTTTTTATTGTGTTGTATCCTCTGGGTGTAACTGGTGAACTTCTAGTAATCCTGGCAGCTCTTCCTGAGGTTTGTGATTTTTTATTATTTTAAGCATTTTAATAAGTTCTGAAAAGATATTGAATCTCTCTGTATGTATTATTTAGTATGCTGTTACAAATACTAAACGATTTCCAGTATTGGTATTTAATCATTTAATTCAGCAATGAATCTTGTAGGTCAGTGCGAAAAAACATTTTACTTTGGAAATGCCAAATATATTTAATATTGGCTTCTCTTTCTGGTGGTATCTTATCATTTATGCTATTCTCTATATACCAGGTTAGACTATTTATTGTATTTAGAACTGTTTAGTTTTTAACTCAGTTTTGAGGAACGAAATATGCTTTATGTTAATATAAATCTTAGTAGAATTGTGTTAATATAGAGTAAAATAGAGCATTGTGTAGCATATGTTAACGCATAGCATACATTGTTTGTCCAATTCTTATATTTTTGCTTAATTAGATTCTCTACGTCAGTGCAGAATTGCATAATAAAATATAGAAGGACACAAATTTGGAGGAAATAAATGTGTGTAAGAGTTGCTCCAGTCTTTTTTCTCTATTTTGAGGGATACTTCTGTTTTATTATATAATTGGTTTTATTAAATTGATTATCTAAATTTCATAAATCTGAAATTGGAAGTATTGGGAAGTCAGTCTATGAATTCATGATAAAATTTATAGATATAAATATGAGATCAATATTGTATAAATACTTTTTTGGGTCTTTTCGATCAAAGTTGCTCATGTAAAACTTTTGTTTGCTTAAATTGAAAAGCTACACACTAATTCGTTATAAAATAAACAATTAATTACTAGTTTTTCAGGTTTTCCGCAAATGTACGCGTATATGCTTAAGCAGCGAAAAAAAATCCTTTCAGTTGAAGTCAGCAAAAAGTCCAGTTAATTTTTCTGGAAATTGTTGTTTTTATATGAAAATGCAGAATGATCCACGATAAGCGTATCAGTCCATCACAGTTTATTATTATCACTTCTACTTTTTCTTTACTTTTTGTAACATTGATATAATACTTGAACAACGTTGTTACTTGTTTATGATAAGGCATTGATAATATTGTTGATTACATCCGTACATATGAAATAATTGTCCGGTTCCTGATCGATGGTGCAGAATTCTGTGATATACGTTCCGAAAGTTTTAAAAGTCAGGATTTACAAGTTCTCAAATTATACTGAGAGCCAGAACTCAATATTGGATTCGTCATCGGAAAATGAAGTCTTTAAAACAAAATCAACTCCAATTTGATATTTCACTGTTTCTGTGTGGTTCAGGATACAAATAACGGATCCTGGCGATATTTTTATTAGACTTTAGAAAGGGAAATTATGGTGGTGCTCTGGTTTTCTGTTATTAATGATCAGTACGAAGTAATAGTATGGAAGAATGAAAAATGAGTTGTAATTGAAGCTGATATTTTAAATTGTAAAAGGTTTTGATGACACCTTGGAAGACTTTACCGCAGGTATCAGTTCTGTTCTAAGGAACCAGTTTTCGCTGTAAATTCATCTTTATGCAAAAAGAAAGAAAAACTCTATAATCAGGTTCTCGGGAATTAAACATTGATCAAAGTTAGTGTTTCATATCATTCGCAGAATGTATCATTCTGGCAAATGTCACGAAATTAAGTTCAATAGAATGGGTGTTAATAAATTTTTAAACTACTGAAAATGATTCGAGGAAGAGGATGAAGTTTGAAAGGTTGCGCCAATTAAAATCCAATTTTGCAAAGCTCTATTATCAAATCTGTTATAATTTTAATTTACAACCCATTCAAATTAATTTCTTAATGTTTTTTTTGGCTTAATTGATCATCGGAATATCATACAAAATATTTGTGAAAATTGAAATAGTTCACTAACTTTTTCATTACTGCTACATAAAAAGCACCAATGTTGTATTAAAAGAAAATGCAAATTTTACTTTGCGCTAAAATGGTGCTAGTCTTTCGATAATTTCTGAAAGTTATCAAAAGTTGAAGTACTTGTCACCATTATAGAATGAACTTAAAAGTTGTTTGCTGGATTGGATTTTGTTAAACTTAATTAGATCAGATTAAAAACGATTTAATTAGGCTGAACTGAAGGAACTGAATCAATTTAAATCTGAAGCAAATTGAATTAAAATATTATGAAAATTATATTATAGAAAATTGCAATCGATTTGTGTTGAGTTCGTATGAATATCGCTAATTTAAAAATTAAGCAATAATTTTAGTTATAATGGAAAACTATATACTTTTCAAGTGTCTTTATAAAATTAATGTGCAACCTAAAAAACAAATGATGAATTAAAATACTCGGATTCATCGTTCACTTCTGACGTTCAAAATTTATTAGTCAATCAGTCAATTGGTGTAATCATATGCGTCGTTAATTTCAAGTAAAATTTTTTTCTTTCATTGTAACCTATCTCTACTTTCTTCAGTATTTCCATTTCTAATAAGATTCTTCAAGTTTGTTTGTTACATAAATGATAGATTAGGAAATTCACTGCTTTAAATTCATTGTTTTTAAATGTAGATATTACCGTAGGCCCATGAGAAATTTGTTGAAATTTTTGTCTTTCGATTTCTTAATGTTCTGCCAATCATTTATTCCTTGTTAGAACAATGCCACACACGCGTAGATTAAACAGCTTCAATTTAATGAAATATAAATAAATTATCCTAGGGATTCATAATTTTTTTTTTATACATTTAAGTGGATAATTTTATTCTCTTTTGTAATTTTATTTCATTTTAAAAGCAAAGTTTGTTTCAAATATAGTAATATTTTGCTATTGATAAATTTAATTTAAAATTGATAAATTGTTAATAGGAGCGATTCATGCATATCTGTTATCATTTTAAATTTAACCTATATTCATCTTAACATTCGCTTTCAAATAAATCAGAATATAATGGCATGAATTTTGTCAAATCAATTTTTAAATTTCTTTCAAAGAAAACAAGGTAATTTTTTATATGATGTCGGATCAATATGGTATGAATAGCAGCATGGATATGAAAAGTATTCATCGAGAAGATATCGATGAATTTAGAAAGTATATGGAGCCGATTCTAAAAAAATATCCACGCTATGATACAGATTATGCACTGTTACGTTGGCTTAGAGGATGCAAATTTGATAAAGGTGAAGATTATCGTTCTTTTTTTTTTTCTTCAAAATACTTAAATTTTGAATTTATCAAACTTTTTTTCTTTTCGAAGTCCATTTTTTTGATGAAAATAGTTTTTTTTTTTTT